ATCAAGAGGCATGTAGGAGGGGGGGGGGGGGGAGTGGTATTTTTAGTTGGCATTCAATCAACCTTCATTTGAAGACTGCCTCGCTATAGAGCTCGCAATGAAATGACAAAGTAGCGAATAATCATCGACTGCATCTGAATATTATTGCGAGACGTTTAGTGATTCGATGGCTTGGGTCGTTGTTTTATATAAGTTTTAGAATAAGCTTAGAAGGGGGGGGGGGGGGGGGTGGGGGGGGGTGGCAAGAAAAACGCAGCCAACAGTTATTTGTAGGTAAAAACCGTGGAAAGAATACCTTATCCACAAAAAAGTTACAATCTTCAGCAATTACTTTGGAAGCAACAGCGCGCTGATATGCTTTATTACCACGATGGCAACAATATGATTGCATGACAAATAAGGGGGAATATGCCTAGTAAATAATTGTGGCACCGCATCGGCTGTGATCGTTTTCGATCGCACAACTTTGTTCGCGTGACAGGACTTGCGTTCGACTCCCATTGACCATTCCCTGCGATTGTTGGGAAGGTAAACGCAAGGAACTGAAAGCGAATACAGTCGACCCCATGGGAATAGGACTAGCGTTTCGGAGCGTATAAGCTACAACAGCCTCGAGAACACGTCTATCAAACAGAACATTCGCAACAAGAGTTCGAAACTTCAAAGCAAGTCCTGTACGTCACGCGTGAAGACCATTCTCTCAGCAGTTCCTCGTCGCAGTCCAAAATTCACACCACCTCCTTGAAGGGAACCCTAATGGGATGCGAAGCAGCAGCGTTGCGCATGGCTGGCGTCATGGGTTGAACGGCGCAAACGTGGGTGCGGCAGAGAGTGGTTGAAGAGGAGGAGGAGAAAACTTTATTTATCCCAAAAGGGTAAGGTGCGGTGGTGGAGGGTTAGAGGAGCCTACCCAGCGTAGATTCGTTTGAAGCATTGGCTGGCGCGTCAGGTTTATTGCGCGTGAACCGACGAGTCGGTGGTGTAGCGAGCGGCGGTAGCGGCAGGTGTTGCGGGTGAACGGACGAGGCAGCAGCAGTGTGCGCTGCGGCTAGAGCGCGGCAGGCGAGGAAGTTTGATGTCAGCGTGCGCTTCGAGGGGATCGTGACGTCAACGCGCAGCCGCGGCGTGACCTACTTGGCACCGCTTCAACACCTGCGGCGAGGGGAGCGTGATGGCGCATTCGTGCGGACGCACGGAGTGGCAGCGTTACACAGGCTATAGTCAAAGAGCTGCTTCGCATCTAAAATCTGAGGCACGGTAACTCGTCTGCCCGATGAAAAAAATACAGTGGCCGAATCAGGCACGTGCCGCAGTTGCGATGACGTCGGGTAGGGCTCGTGCGTGCCTGTGTGTGTGCGTGTGTTTGTGCGCGTGCTCTAAAGCAACCACCGCTTGTCTGTCCTGGACACAACATTCCTTGCGCCCCTCTTAAAATGTTAAAGTACGACTGTACGTGAACAAACATGTAGAATACAGACGTAATGCCCAATGGCCTGGCGAGTGAGCAATAATTCAGGATAGGCAACCAACACCATTGCTAGAGTTCAATCACATACGCCAGTCAGCAACAATGGAGGCCGCTCATGAGAAGGAGGGTCATCGAAGGGTAAGCATGGGCGGGAGAGCGTATACGGAGGACATTTCCAATTTCGTGACAGGTGGCTTAGCGTTCTCCTTAAAAGAGAAAAATGCAATCATTGCATTGCGTTGGTATGAACATATCTGGCAGAAACTATATGGGCATGCAGTGTGCAATGAAAAGAAACATAATAAGCATAACATTTAAGGAGTACAGCACACTTGATCAATGACAGAACAGTGGAAGGTGGATGAGTATACTTGACCCTGGACGTATATTTAGGAACCAGCCTGGCTATGAAGACTTGGTGTAGAACCGGAAGATCTTGCGCAATGGCAACTTATGCTGCTGAACACCTGGACATCGCGAATTCTATTATGCCTGTCGCAGCGGCCACAGTCACTGCGGAAAGCAAAGCCTCAACAGCGGCTCGAGGTACACTTGTCAGCCGCATTCAGGGGAACACTTCATCGAAATATCAAACAGCCTATTGCAGCTAATATTTAACAAAAAAATCGGCAAAATATTATTCAATGTACTGGCGTCTATATGTCAGGTATCATAACATACGACACATCTAACCCGTGAAGTATAGATGTATTGTTTAGGTCATATTGGTGCTTACTTATAAAAAGATTTCTTCTGGTTATCCAGCCTTCACGTTGGGGCGTCAGGTGGTCAGATGTTTGCGCCTACTCTCGCTCTAACATCAGACTTAGGCGTAACAGGTTTGAATCATAAACACCGCTTTGCCAGGCGAATACCGCAATTAAGCTACAAAGGAGATGCAAGCTATAACCTTGTTCGGGCATAAAGACCCGCGTTCACAAAAATGTCGTATGATGCAAGAATTGTTCTTAACAGGAAATTTTTGACCAATGCAAGCATGCACTTACATACGAAAATATTAGTAAACGTTGTCAGTAGGGCCCGAATTTAGAAGAAACATATTAAGGACAGCTCAGTCATTGGAGAAGCATTGAATGAAGGTGGTGTTATGAATAGAGCCAATAGGCAAGCTGCAAACAATATGCCATATTTAGCCAGCAACAGTGACGATTTAGCAAGCACCTACCAACATTAGCACTGTGTTAAAGAGCGCTTGTGAAGTGCAAGTAAATACGGCACTCGAAATGGCGTCCCATAATGAAGCGCTGTGTTGGGCTGAACTGTCGTTGGCACAGGCCCATGTTCTTCGTCAGACATCGGGCATAGCCTTACCCCGTTACAGGATGTATGTGCGAACGCGCTAGGAAGCACTATTTTCAAACGCTCTTGCGCTAAAATTTGTACGAAAAGGTAGCCTTGTTTAGAAAAAGTTTATTTACAGCTTTTACAGAACACAAAGGCTTCATACCATTCCAGTAACAGGGCACATACACTTCGGCACATCTATATTTCACGACTAACATCACTACGTTACAGTGAAGACATTTGCTCTAGTATACATGATTATGTTGGCATACATGTACACAAAAATTCAATGTGATATCACGATACAAGGGTATAACGATACAATAGATCCAAATGAAACACAATTTGTAACAAATGAAATCATATATAACAACTCAACGGGCGCTGCTTAGCACCAAGTCGGTCGAAAAATGAGTTGTATCCTTTCGTGTTCCACCTTGACGAAAGGGCACGACCAAAGCCGCAGAAACTCTTGCTCCCCGAGGAAGAAAAGCTCTTCGGAGAGGAACGCGAGGATCTCTCGTCTCATTCTCCCCAGTCTCATTCTCCCCAGGTAGCCTTTAGTAAGGTTGGACGTGTTATCATCCGCGAAGGACAGGGGCCGATAACAAGCAGTGTTTTCCAGACGAAAAGCCGCGCATTCGGCTTTCGTGTTTTGGTTCGTGAATAATCAGTCGTAAAGTGAATGCCGGTGAGAGGAATGGTATCCGGTTCGCATCCGATATGCAACCCGACCACCGCTATATTCGACGTTTTGTGTGGTCCGTTGGTCAAGAAACAGGATGAATCGAGGCCATATTGGTTGGCTGCTGTTTTTGCGTATATCACGCATTCTGGGCGATCGCATTCAAAGACGATGTCGATTTGCTTTGACGGGAATATCGAATGTCCAATGTTTGAAGCGACTTTTGAGGCCCGCCTCTCCACATCGAGCCAATGAGTGCGCACAATATGATCGTGTCAGAACAAGTGGTAGCGCCTTACTTTATTCACCGACTCGCTACCGGCATATCTAGAATTACGGTTGGCTGACAAACGTGAGACGCTGCTGTGAACACGGACCGAAGCATAAGCCTGCGCATAGAGGGGAGGAATCCCCCCCCCCCCCTTTCTGGATCCCCAATTTTTTCGAGATTGCACTGCGTTCTGATCGCAGAGGCTTAGGAGGGGGGCAGGGCAGATGGGGGAGGGGGGGGAGGGAGGTGTACTGTGAAACTTCACCCTCTCCGGCCTCCCTAGCGCAAAACCGTTTGCAATCTTACGGACCAAGTGTTTGATATAAAGTTCCCAAAATGTCGTTATTTCTCACAATGTTAGAAATCAGGGACTTATTGTGTCTTGCTGATCTTTTTACCTATGTGCCAATCAAAAGCCGTGCAGTTCGGTATTTAGGGTATAGTAAGTTTATGGTATACATTCACTCCTCACTGCACGTGGTCGTGAAAGCCGGCAGTGGGCCCACGTCGGCAGAGGACGACGCCAGGCTACGGGTGGAGGCCGGACGGCGGCGGAGAGCTGATCGATTTGGCCTCCGCATCCAGGCAGCAATCATCAGCGCATGTCCTGTGTTGTCGTTCGCCGGCGCACGGCCAGGTACACGTCGTCCGCAGTTAGCTGCACCGATGCGACGCCCGACTACTCTGTCACAGCTTCACCGGACTGCAGCGCTTAGCTGCTCCAGTATTTGCTGCGCTGTGCGCACGCTAATTACTCTTCCCAATCCATCCGACCGGACGTGTGGCACACACTCGCAGCTCCCGAGAGCTCATCTGACTGACTGTATTCGTCAAACTGCGGGCTCTTTACATCTATTTTCAGTTAGCCGCACAAACGGATTGCAGAGGGGGTTCGTCTCCACCCTGGAATGACCATTTGTGCTCTGCCGGCCGCATGCAAGGCTAGCGCACGCCCTTCAGAGCGTGCGGAGAGGCGTGGTGTGCGCGTCGGGCGGAAGAGCCTCCCATCAGAGAAACGCAGGTAAAGTCGCGGCGGCGTGCGCGCGCGTGCGTGGCTCGTTTTTGCTCGCATCGAGAGGGTTTCATTGAAGAAAAAGCGGCCGCTGCCACTTCTCCTGACGCTCGGAAAGCAGTCCCATTGAAAAAATAGCGCGTCACAGACACGTCACGCGGGTCGCGGCCGCCGATTGGCTCCGGCTCGGCGCGACGGCGGCGCTAGCAGGAGAAGGAAGCCGGGGGCGAGCGCGTGTGCGTGTATGGGGGAGAGGCGAGACCATTCTCGGATGCCCCGTCGGACCGTGGTGGGTGCGTTAGGCCTAGCGCAGCAGCGTTTGTGTGTAGGCCGGCGGCGATGCGGCCTCGACGACGATTCCGCCGCCGGGGCTGGGCCTAGGCTTCAACGGGAACCCATGCGCAGCCCGGGCCGGGCCGCCAGCGCTCGGCCATGGCCCGCTCGGGATCGCGCGAGCTCATCTCGCTGGGACAGCCGCGGCCGGGCGTCGCCCGGCGCCAGAACGAGTACATCGAGACCCCGCTGAGGAGCAAGGATGCGGCGGCGGCGGCGGTGGTGGCGCAGCAGCCGGCCGCCAAAAAGGTGGCTGCTGCCGGCCACGAGGACTCCATCATCTGCGGCCGCTGCGGACGATGCCGCTGCGACGCGTGCCAGGGCCCGCGGCCACTGCCCTCTCGCTGGGTGTGCGGCGATAAGGTGCACTGCTCGGCCGGGGCGCTGGTCGACTACTGCTCGTGCGTGTGTTGCGCCAAGGGCCTCTTCTACCACTGGGCCAAGGACTACGACCTGGACACGGACGTGTCGTGTGCCGACCAGCCCTGCTCGTGCGCCCCGCACCGGCGCTGCGCGCGATGGGCCTGTCTCGGCCTCCTCAGTCTGCTGCTGCCCTGCCTCTGCCTGTACTGGCCTCTGCGCGGGTGCGTCAAGCTCTGCGAACTGGGCTACGCGGCCTGCGCGCGCTCGGGCTGCCGCTGCGAGCGACAACACGCCGAGGAGGCCGCCGGTTCCCGGACGCTGCTTCAGCCGCAGGAATTATTACGCCGTTAGGCCTCGCGGGCGAGGCGGCGTTGTGCGTGTGTGTGTGTGCTGCTGGCTGTCGTTGCGTCGACGTCGTGCCCCGCTGGAACGAGCGTGAGTGTTGGCGAAATCTCGCCCAGATAAGGCGCCCAATCAGTCCCCCGCCAGTGCTAACAGAAAATACCCCGTCGGCGCCACCGCATCGACTGCCTGCAGGCAGAGCGAGCAGACGACGATGCTGCTGCTCTCGTCTGCTGCGTGCCGAGGAACCCTCAAACCTTGTGTCCATTTTGTACAGTAGGAACTCCCTTCCCTTCGTAGAAAAGTTTATGCGTGCAAGAGTTTCGCCAATTTCGCCTCTCATCATCTAGTTCTTTCGATTATTTTTTTTCTACCCCCCATGTTCATCCCTCTTGCGCGGCGAAGCGAGACGATCTGTGTCTCTTTTAACTCTGTGTGTGTCTGTTACGGGTAAAATTTCGGAGCACCTCCGTTTATCTTCCTAAATGCATCAGGCAGCTTTACTATATAAGGTGTTTTTGTTTTTTTACGACCACGGCCAGAAAGGCGTCCGAGTGCGGTTTACAGTTCGCCACTCCGCTCGTCGATCCGATGCATTTAAACCCACTCACAGGGCTCCATGTCGGGCATAACTGTCGTTTCGTGAGCCGGTAAAACGATGCATTTAACCGAGGCGGGGCGCGGAATTCAGCTCCGTTCGACCCACACACCGGGCGCTGACGGCCGCCATGTTTCCAGATCGGTTAGCGCCACAGCCGCCTTTTTCCCGCCCTACAGCAGCCGTCGTGGTGCCACCACCTGCGAGAGAACCGCGGGCGTGTGTGATCCTAAACCTCGTCTTCCTATCCGTACGCGATGAGCTTCGTCGTGGACGTCAACTCTTAACCGAGTTGTGCTTCCTGTAAAATTCGCGGCCTGCGCACACTTTTCGGGCTTCCCCTCTACCAAAAAGAAGAAAGAAAGAAAAAAAACTCGTCGCACTGTCGCGAGTGCCGACAGGAGATCATCGCAGTCAAGTCGCCAGTTCTGACCCCCGAAATGAAACTGGCGTGCCCTTTTGATGGCATTTTCTCGTCTATCCGCGAGGCCCCCTACGCACACAGGGGTTGGGCTGTGACGTGGCGGGTCACGGAGTAGGCGGCCCCCGTTCGTTCGTTGTCGCGAGCGCACCACAACTCCGCGCTGACAGTTTTTATTGCTCGCCGTCGCCGCGCTGCTTTCCTACCCCCCCCCCCCCCACCCACCCACACTGTTTCCTTCCCCCCTTTTTTTCTTTATTGTGAGCGATAATGACGGAAACCTGTTCCCTTGTACAAATGTATTTAACAAAGCTTGTTTTACATTTTTATTTTTGCAGTTACGTTTTGTCTAATTTACACAGTAGACGGCAGCAGTCAACGAGTCCCCGTTGTTTTTTTTTTTCTTTTTTTTTCTCAGGTGTACGTACGATGTTGTTACGACTGTGTGTGTGTTGTTCGAAATAGATGATTCCCGTTTGGCACGCCCCTTAGGTGACGCATTGGCGTCGGGCCTGCATTTTTCAAACGTGTCAAACTGTGTATGTAGGAGCCAGGGCTGTGCAATCACTCTGGTCCTCCGCACCAAAACTGGGGAGTCCAGCGAGCGTTTCAATCCAAAGGCAGAAGGGATTGCGTCGCCTTCGTGGCATGTTGGTTGGTTGCTCAAAAAGGCGGTGAAACGATGATGCTGATTAAATTCAAAAGTTCTTGCATGCATTCGTGTTCTTGAGACTTCATGGCGAGCCAAGCAGCCTCTTCTGGTCGAATGGCTACGTGTTCTAGATTGCAGCTTCTCCTGAACCAGGCGACGTTCTATTTTTTGAACAGGCGCGATGTGCCCTCTTCGTTCTCTCCCGGTCGATAAACCAGCGCCGGCAGCCATCTTGGGGTGACAAAAACAGCGCTTGTGCATTAACTCCGCCGCAAGACGTCCCAGTCGCTACCCATTAGCGAGTGCATTTGCCATCTCGTCTTGCCGCATCGTAGAACCATTTCGTGGTTATTCATGTAGCAGTATCTGCTGTAATCATGTGACTGTCCTTTAGACACCACGCAGTAGCACCCGGCTATAGTTGAAGACCTCCTGTAACCCAAGATGTGCACCAAACTGTGCTGCTTTTTTTTTTTTTGCAATGTGATTGTTCGCTAACGTTCTGTCTGATAGCCTTCAGGACGGGCCCCGTACCGATCAAAACTCTAGCCAAACTCACATTGCATGCGAGCAGCCCATTCGTTTTCATCGCAATCTTTGAAATGGGCCATTCAGATCCAAACTCATATGCACACTGTTTAAATTCCCACGGCGCTGAACTTGTGGGTTGCTGTAATAAGGGTCTCTGAACGACTACCCGTCCGTGTTCATCACGATGGGTGTGTCATATGGCATTTCAAAACATTCTATGATTCTGGTCGCCAGCTTCTGGTGTTTGAGGACCCATCCGCTTTAATCGCTATGTTAAATGCTTTTAAATGAGCTATTCAGATCAAAACTTCTCTCGTAGGCCTACTGCTTACCGTAGTTACTCCCTTACGGGCTGTATAAATGAGCTTTTTCGTGACCAGCCTTCTCTCTCTGCTCGTCCGTGTTCATCGCGATGAATATGTCATTTGAAAGTCAACCGATAGGGGCCGGCAACTTGTGGGTACTGCCCCCACGAACGACGCAACTAAAACCACCATTGCCGCCGTCGCCTGCTGGTTCGCTCGTCGTGTCCTTGCTCGGCCGTATTCGGTTGCACGTTCGAAGAGTCTCCATTGTCTTTGCACAGCCCTGGCGTATCGGAGATCGTTGTGGACCCGCTCGTCGCTGGAAAGCGAGAAGTTCACTGTCCGCAACCCTACGCACGCTTCGAGCCCTCGCTGCCGAGTGGGGTTGGGTGTCAGCCGGGGTGGGAGTCGACGAGCTTCCATGCCTAGCTGCGAGGCTAGTCCCGACGACCGGCGCAAAGGAGCGTGGGCTGCTGATGCGCCGCGTCGCCGCCGACCGTCGCTCCCAGTTGCCGCGAGCCCTTCCAGGAACACCGAGTCAGTCTTGGCTGGTAGAACGTCTTCTGCAAATTAAAGGTGGTGACAGGGAGCGAAAGTCAATACCGTATAGTTACACGGGCACGCTAAACCTCACGCAATCTCGGTTCCATCGAACCGTTGTTGTAACCGTTGTTTGTTGCAGTCAGACGCACAGCCGAACTGCAGTCGTCCCACTAGCTTTGTTTGCTCCAAACTGAGGATGATCGCATCAGTTTTGTATGTAAAAAACAAAGAGCTTGACAAATGGCGGAGCCAATTTCGGTGGTCGAAGGAACGTGGTTCCGATGGAGGCTGAAAAGTCTGTATGCTAGTTTACTCATAGTATGCAGCTACATGTTTACATTTTTTATTCGCGGAACAGATTAAAGTGATACGCACGTCACCAATGAAAGCCTTTCCCACGTAACAGGTTGCCAACTACTGGTGGTGGTCACCACATTTTACTCCTTAACTGAGCTTCGTCTCAACCGAGGCTATAGCGTGCCCGTGTAACTATATAGGGTCCTTCATTTGCCACAGCTTGTACTCGTTCGCACCACGGGAAGGTCAGAGGCAAGGGGTTTCAGCCCCACTATGTTCACCAGACAGTGTAGCGAATCCGTGATCATGAACTCAAGAATATCTTTACTTATATAAGAGGCCGATCACTGGCGCTTCTGCTGAAGGAAAACAGGAGAGTGAGCCTTGCGGTTACGGCCAATCTTGCTCGGCTAGTTAAATTTGAAGGTGTAAGAGAAGCGTTTATTTAAAGGCATAAGAAAAGAACGGACATGAGAGACGATTGAGCGCATGGTTTAGATCTTTTTTTGTTGTTGTTAATGTTACTGACGTCTCGGTGCTTTCGGGTATTTGGACCCGTCTAACACACGCATGTATCTAAACCGTCACTCAGAAAACTACCGGTCTAGTCTTGCTGCGGTATTCCTTTTCAGTGTGTCCCTTTGATAACAAAAGAAAGTGCGTTAGGCTTGTTGATGGCAGTAAGTTATCTTACTGCTCCAGCTCCTGCGTCTCTTAGCAACGCGAGGAAGAGAGGCTTGCCACGCCGCAGGCTGCGTAACGCGAAAAATACGAACTGATTACGTTCTATTTTCTCGTGATCTTTCATTTATGTTGCTTCTCCGTTGCCGTATCGCTCCCTCCCCCTCAAAAAAAAAAAAAAAAAAAAAACTGGTGTTACGCACAATTACCGTAAGCTTTATTCGCGCTTTCCAAATTAATACCAAATACAAGAGAGCGAATCCAGAAACGCCTCTTTGGTCAGTTGCCAAAAATGAAATAGTGCGAGGAACCTGCGACCCTAGATCGCACTACACTGCCGGTACTTGTAGGTATCGTGAGCACGTTTTTTTAGATATTGTTTCTTCTAACGTCTCCTGCGATCCGTACTGCAACGGTTTGTAAGATTTGTTGAATTTATGTAACTCGTCGCCCCATAAAATAACAATTATTATGCAAATGAACGAAATTTACCGTGAACCTAACCCCCAGATAGCACTTGCTCTTCGCTGATACATTTTGTTCAAAGTGACCTGGAAGCTGCCCAAGTTACTGCGTTGCCTCTTGCTTACGTCTAGAAGATGACTTTACATTATTTGCTGAAAAAGAGAACCGACAGACTGGATGACTCGATCTTACTTTCATATCAATAAGCTCTTCTGAGCTGCCCAGTAGCTGAAGTGGTTTTCGAACCATAAGGGAATTTCTAGTGCCGGGTAACCCCAGCCGTTGCGTGTCCAAGCTGTTGCGTTCTTTTGTATTCTCGCCATTCGATGTTCGCTATAGCTGGCACCAAGAAGAGTACAACATATCGCAAGGGTTTGGGTACGGAAGCCACCTGGAGGTCCCGGCAACTAAAGCCCTTGTTTTTCGGAATGAGTCGACAAATGTTCGAGCTTCCTAGTGTGATGTAGAAGCAGTACCATGTATTTTTGGCAGCACTAACAAATACAAAAGATAACACATAGATCGTATATCTGTCCATTAAAGCTGCAGCGGATTGGTTTCGTAGAGCGAACTAAAATGTTTCTATAATTTGCGTTGAAAGGTTTGTGCAGGTAATTGATGGCAGCGCTGTCCGTATTTTACAGTTGTTAATAATTATCTCTATCATAAACATCGATGTTGTATCACCGGATATATGTAAAAATCCGCACCAACGAGCCGGTTGTCTCTAAGAGATTCTGAGTAGTTTCGCATTTGGTACTGTGACCCAAACGAAAGCCAGCATTCGGCCGTAGCCGTGCCTCGGAACAAGCGAAACAAGCAAAAAATCTGCTAACAGTTACCGCAAGAGGATCGATCGTTGGGCGAACTACTACCACGGCTTCGTGTCACGAAATCGACGCGTTCAAGTCGCTTTAGTGCATTAGGAGAGGGCGTTCGTGTCCCGTCCTCTTTCGTCTCGCCATGACCGCATTAGTTAACGGCTTCACGTTTTTTAAAAGTTATTTGTGAAATGGTGTGAGGACGGCGATTAAGAATAGATTAGTCGAAAGTCGAGATCAAAACATCAAAGTCCTTCGATGCACTTGACGTTACAAGTCTGGCACTGATGCTTAACCTGATTTTGGGGAACGAACGGACAGACGTGGGGACGGAAGCGATGTTCAGCATCAGATTCTCGCAGTTATAGCACTTTATAAGTGCACAGTTTTCAGCTACTCTTGATGTGAGCTGCTAGCACCTGCTATCTGGCAGAAACAAGCGAAAAAAAAAAAAACCGAAGATACCGTGGTGTGGTGTAAGCTCAGCTACGACTTCTCGTCAACTCGTTATCACTATGTCACTGAGATCACAATGTTGAGTGGCTGTGGTGGTCTATTTACGAGCAAAAGAGGTCACGGGTTGGATTCCCCCACCACGCGTCAGCGTTGAGAAGCGACAATCTAGAATGCTGCTTGGCTTATGTGTATGCGACGACGCTCAAGTCCGTTATTCAAATCGCTAGCACACGGCCTTTCGATTTCAATAATAGCCAGCGAGACGGCATCTTTAGGCGCTTAAACTCCACTAATAGAACCAATCAGACGGGTGTGCTACTGCGTTGAATAGTGTCGACTGGTTCCCGTCATCGTATTCGGGACAGCGAGATGTCGAAGCTGTATTTAAGTAGCGTTATTCATGTAGCAGCAGCGAGTGACACGAAATCATTTCGAAGCAGTGTTCCGAATCGTCCACCTTTCACAACCGTGTGAAGAGAAAATGGAGCAGTGCGAGCTATGAAGTGCGTAAAGGAATGAAAGTATGTATATAGGCGAGAGCAGGTCGCACGCGCTTCACGACAGTTGCGGAAATCTTTAACGTTTTTCCTAGTTCGCAGTGTGGAAGGACCAGGACATTAGCGCGCCGTCGAGGATGAAGCGAACGTGCGGGACCGTCGTGCTTTCTGCACGCGAAAGCGCTTCTCTCTCTCTCTCTCTCTCTCTCTCTCTCTCTCTCTCTCTCTCTCTCTCTCTCTCTCTCTCTCTCTCTCTCTCTCTCACACAGACAGCATAGCGGAAATGAGGAAAAGGGAATGGAGAGTCGCTTCGTAGATCTTTACAGCCAAGCTGCGCTAAAATTCTTACCGTTCATATCTTGGACAGCACATTAGCACAGGAATAAATGCATGGGATCCTTGTACCCTGCTAGTTCACCTTAAGGCATCCCCAAGGCATGCCTCTGGGCAACGCGGTCATAAAAGGAACATTGACGAATATTTTGCAAACGTTGCACGTAAAGTGACATCCCTGAGCAGTTGCGAAAACGGGAAAAAAAAGTAGACTAAGGCTTTGAGGTGTTGGTAATTAAACTGGCGCGCAAAAAACGAAGCTGCCGAGCGGATATCTTGCGTATGGCAGTTGCGATGATCGCTCAGACTAGCTGGTGCATTTTAAAGGGGTCACGTTATGAGTGTTATGATGTTGAATGTTTTGTAAGCCAAGTATTGTAGTCAACTATCTTGTCGGTTGGGTGTTTTTTTTTTTACACTTGAAGGACACAGGAAGAAAACTTAATGTTAAACGGTTTGTAGGCCAAGTATTGTAGTCAAATATCTCGTCGGTTGGGTGTTTTTTTTTTTTTTTTTGACGCTTGAAGGACACAGGAAGAAAACTTCATAACGTCCTTTTACTTAGATCTCTTTAGAAATGGGAAAGGAAAAATTGGCAGCCATCTGTTCTTAGCGCAATGGCACAACGAAATCCACAAGGAAATCCATGCGGATTTCTCAGAAGTTAAAGCTTTGTAGTCGACGAAAAATTTGTCCTGGTCCGGCGATCGAAACCTGGACCAACCAACGCCTTTGCGCAGCAGCTATCGTTCTACCCACTGAGGCAACAAGCAGGCTAGCAAGAGTTGTATTTGTTCAGATTTGTGAAAGGTTTGGGCCTATGGTTGATTTCTTACGCGGCTGGCAAGAGAAATAGTGTTCCTTTTGCAGCGCCCAAGGCCCATGAGTGTGAGGAGACGATGATAATGAGAGGATGAGATTAATTCAGCCTTTGTTGAACGTATCAGCAAATGAGATTACGTAACTCTAGACTACACGCGTAGCATTCACGTGTCGGGGTGACGCAGTTATATTGCTGTTCATTCCTCAGCTTCCACAAGGCGGTTGTAGATAAGCGGTTGGAGATAAGACACAGCCCTTCACTGGCTGTTAAAAAAAAAAAGATATGACGGCTGCAGTGACGTCTTTGCATTTTCGCCTTGACAGAAGGGGTAATTAATTTGGAGGACTCGAGGACGCTGTTACACTGTTTCTTTCGAAGTGGCGGTTGGGAAAGGCGTGCTTAATCTTGGGGTGTCTTAGGGACGATGTTGCCTGTCGGTTCACGAGCACTGAGCCTTCCAAATGCCGCGAAAAGTGGCTGACGCCTGCGCCTGGCTATCGGCGTTTTCGGCCCTGCAGCTTCACGTTACGAGCTGTACTGAGCGCACTGAAAAGCTTTCTCGTCTATCACTTTTCGGAGGCTCCCGTATTTTCCCACCGTTACGTAGCGGGCTCGTTCACTTCACACCACGTTGCTAAGAGCATACTGAAAGACTCTGGTACTGATGTCATGAAAAATGCGTTGCAACTTTATTGCCGGAGTTTCACAGACTTAAAAAAATGCTTCGGCTTCTGGGCAACGGCAGCCGCATTTATTTATTTATTTGAAATTCCTTACAGGCCCTTTACAGGGCATTGAGTAAGGGGGTTAATTGGTGAAGATTTACAGATCACACAAAATTAATTCACGCGTTACAAAGCGTATCAGCATAATGAAAATATGACGCGGTTTGCAATATAAGTTGAAGTTAACAGGCGATAACAAGAAAAAAGAAAAGGCGAAAAGTAGAAGCAAGAAATCTGTGGATCGCTTTCGCTTGGGTCAAAAGGATGTCACCATTAGATCTCGTCTTTAGTAAGCGCCGTGCCGGTGACTTGAGAGACGCAGGTGAAGATTGTTTGTGCTTTTTTTTATGACTGAAATGATTGACAGGACGTAGAGAGTAAGCGAGTCAATCGCTCGCCAACACTGGACGACGTTGCGCCCTGCTTTCACGTAGGTCGCGGGAGGCATATAATCGTCTTTCCTAACCCGAAATCACTATCACAGTCTTTTTGGCAGTGTAGGAAGAAAGAAAGAACTAACAGTAAGAACGATCGAAACTAAAAGTGGAACGAAGAATTTGCACGGTCGCACGTTATTCGACGCAAGCCAACTTCCGAAGCTCTTTCGGCAGCCGGCCACTATCGGGTTGTGGCCCATTCCGTTTTCGCGAGTGCCTCCCAGGCGTCAAAATACATGTGCGCACTTTGGCTGGCACCGAATAGGTGTTAGCTGCTGGGCAATTGTGTGCCACAACCCTGATACGATCGTGAGGCATGTCTTTGAGGGGGAACTCCGGACTGATTTTGAACGCTGTGGATTGATTATTTAACTTGTACCTGCATATAAATACATGGGCGTTCTGTCATTTCGCCCCCCCCCCCTCTCGATCCCCTGCGAGT